ATGGGGAAACCAACCGAAAACCAGAAACCATGACTGTGACTGCAGACAACGCTGCTCCTGAAAATTCAGGAATCTTCACTCGGCTGGGGAGAGGATTCAGTCGGCGACTGCAAGGCAAAGGACCTTTCTGGATCCCCAGCATCCAAATAAAAAGATGGATGTTGAGGTGCAAGCCTGAAACTCCACCCCAGGGAGGCAGAGACAAGAGAATTCTCGGGCCTTGCTGGCCACCCAGTCTAGCTAAGGTGGTAAGATCCAGGCCCAGCAAGAGACTCTGCTTCAAAAGCTAAGGTGAAAAGGGACTAAGGAAATCACCCAGTTTCAACCTCCAACCTCAATGCCCACACATGTGCACACACACACACACACACACACACACACACACACACACACACACACACCCTTCGCACACTTCCTGGGAAGGCCACTTGCACCAGTGTGCTCTGCAGGGGCGCCACTGTCCTTCCACCTCAAGGACTTCAACAATAGGGCTGCTGTGTTCTCAGGAATTGGAGACAGACCAAAATAATATCAGCCATGCAAGGAGCTGAGATGTGGATCTCACTCCATCTCCATATTCCTTGGCCTAGGTGAACACCCAGCATATTGTTACCTTTTCAACTTTAAATCCACAGTGTTTAAAGGGATTATACCCATGTCTGGGTAAACTGGACCAATTGAGTTTAAAAAAGAAAAATATAAAGGCAATGTTTATGTTCAAATGTCAGGCCGTGTGTGAGTAGACTTGGTGTCCTTTTCCCATGAATAACATTTCACACTGTAATTAATTTATCCATGTTCCCATCAGCCCAGCATTATTCCCCGACAAAAGCAGCGGTGAGGAGAGGCTGAGGGGGCGGGGACTCGGTTGTTTCTTTTGGAAAAGCTTTCTTAATTGGATATGTGTTCTTTTCATAACAATATAAAGACGATGGTGATTTGTCAAGGGCAGTCCTGGGTCTAAAGCCAGCTGCAACCTCTCTGCATGGTAGTTCAAGGGTGTTTCAAATTAGCAAATATGCCCTCGAGCCCTGGGCAGAGGCCGCTGAAGGTTCATTTCCAGGAGCATCTTGCCTTCCAGCAGCTGGGCAGTGTGCGCCACGTTTATTGACCTTAGTCCACAGTGGAGTCCCCTAGCATTGGTGCACGGTTAAGGTGACCGGAAAAGACGGCTCTTGTCTGCTCAGTGAGCTCTGCCATGGCTGCCACTGAGTGGCATCTGTGGATCTGTGACTGCAGCTTTGGTTAAGGTGTTGCATGTGTGAATTGGGAGAGGGAGGACCAAATGCCACAGAGATCTTTTCGTTTCTTGTTTTGTTTTTTTTCTCATATTCCCAAGAACTTTCTGGGGAAAGTTCAGAGCTGTTGTTCTAAGATGACACACAGCTGGCCAGTCTAAAGGTGCTCGCAACCCAACAAACACACAAGATCAAAGTATCCAGGAAATGAGTTCCCGGGAAGAGAAAGGAAGGAACAGGCCTGGGTTTTAGAGTCCGTGGGCCCTGGAAGGGACGGACCTACCACAGAATAACAAATCCTATCCCCACAGAGCCAGGCAGGCTGTGGCAAGCTGAGCCTGCTGAGATCCACTGTCGGAGGGACGTGGGCTGGGAGGGCTGTGGTGAGTAGCCCAAATTGTGTATAGAGGGGCTTACCTTACCAAATGGAGTCTTACCAGATTCCTTGAGTTTGAGAATAGAAACCAGAAATCTAGATGTTTCCATTTTTAATTTTAAAAATTAAATGAAAATTAAAGAAATGACCCCCTGTTGTGGGGCTGAGGTCTAAACCAGTCCTGGGCTCCATGTGGTGGAGGGCCATAGAGTGCGGGTTGAAAAGCTAAGAATGGAAGGCAGAATCCCTGGGGGAGGTCCGCATGGAAAAGAACAGGCTGTGTAGAGAATGGGGGTTCCCCGGGAGGGAGCAGGCTGTGTAGACAATGGGGGTTCCTCGGGAGGGAGCAGGCTGTGTAGACAATGGGGGTTTCTCGGGAGGGAGCAGGCTGTGTAGAGAATGGGGGTTCCTCGGGAGGGAGCAGGCTGTGTAGAAGAATGGGGTTTCTTGGGAGGGAGCAGGCTGTGTAGACAATGGGGGTTCCTCGGGAGGGAGCAGGCTGTGTAGACAATGGGGTCCCCTTCTGCTGTCTCAGCAGCTCATTTAGAGGAGAGTCGTGACAGGGACTGAGCCTGGTGACCAGTGGGACCTGCAAAGCCCAGAAGGTGGTGGGCAGTTTCTTTTCTATGTGGTTGAGCATTCCTTGGGTATATGCCCAAGAGTGGTATGGCTGGGTCTCGAGGTAGATCGATTCCCAATTTTCTGAGAAACTCAGTTTCTTTTCTAAACCAGGCACACTCTCAGGAGAGTGCCAAGAGACCAGCTTTAGTGAAGGATACCTCTTAGGAGCAGGACTCTCCACAGAGAAGCTATGGGGGTAAACTGAGGCAGACCTCCTATGTCTACGTGAATCATATCAGGTGAGGGACTGTAGTCAAGAGGAGGGTAGCATAGACTGGAGTCACCAGAGGAGACGGGCAGGTCAGGTCATGCATGTGGGATGCATGATGGAGAGACGATGACCTAGATGGCCAGAGGCTCACTTCCATCTTTGGGGAGACTCAGAATGGACCTTGAGTGCCATCCCCCGCCCGGTCTTGGTTTTGATGAGGAAGTACTGATGTTGTCAGCATGCTACAGCTGTGTTCTGTGTTTGGGATGAAGGAAACTTAGTGGTTTGTGGGTGTTCCTTACAGAAGACCCAGAATTCTCCAGGAAATGATAATTGCCCCCAAGCGCATAGGAATCATGGGCAATGCTCTTCGTGCACGATCATGTGTGTGTGTTTGTGGGAGGATTGCACATCTGTGTACAGCACACCTGCATGTGTATACACCTGCACACACGCACACACATTTTTAAAGCTTGAATTCTGGGGGGCAAACACAGGTCCCCATACATCCAAGGCAAACAATTTACTCACTGACCAGCTCCCTGGCCTTCTGTGTGGGCCTTAACCATACCCAAAGGCTGTGCATTAAAGGCTCGGTGCTCAGCTTGGTGCTGTGGACATGAGGTGGAGCCTCGTGGGACGCCTTTAAGACATTTGGAACGCCTCTGCAAGGGCCAGGGGCTTTCTAGCCCCTCTCTGTCTTTTTTGTTTCCTGGCTGTGAGGGACCGGTTTTGCTCTGCCTGTGTCCCCACCGGGGTACCCTGTCTTACCACAGGCCCAAAGCAATGGGTCCAGCGAAGCACCGGGAGTAGCCTTTAACACTGAGCAGTGAGCCCTTTCTAAGCTGATTGTTGAGGTAATACGAGGCTAACTAACGCAGACAACCAAGGGGAAGCCAAAGGGCAGGGGGCGCCCCCAGCCTGCTGCAGGAAGAACACCAGCTGAACAGCCACCATAGGGAACGGCCAAGTACCGTAGGCATACACTGAGCCTGGCTCGCTTGCCACCTGAGAATGAGCAGAGTCAAGAGAAAGCAGAGCGTCTAGATTTGAGACATTCCCAAGAGAGGATGATGGGAAGTGGCTGGTTTGGGGACATCACATTCACTGAAGCAGGGGCTCATAGAGGATGAAGTACAGTTACTGAGAAGGACGGAGGCCACATCGGTCATGACTTTAGTGGAGGGACCCAGGAGAAAGGAGGCAGGGGTTCTGGTTCTGTGGTCATCGCAGGGGATGGGGTCCTATCCATCACACCCAGGACGAGACGAGATGAGAGTTAAGAGCAAAGGGAGAAGAGGAATGGCCGGGGAAGCCAGTTCAAGTCCGCCTCACGCTGGCAAACAGGGAATGTCAAGTGCTGTAATAACTCATTCTGTAGGGAGCAGAGAGAACCCGGAAGAGAGCTGAAGACAGTGCTGTGTGCAAGGCACAATGCCTTTCTGGAAAAGCTCCCTTCACAATGCCCAGGGACAGGTGGGAGGCATCATCCCACGCCCTGATGAGAGAGATAGTGATCCAGGCAGCTGGTTTGGTCTGGATTGTGTAGGAAAGGACCGCACATGTAAAGGCTTGGTAGGATAAACCTGCTACTTCCGGCCGTCACCCATTCCCACCTGTTGGACTCCTGGCTTTGGAAGGGTGGGCAGAAAGATACCCCATGCCCACAGCACAACACAGCACTGAGGAGAAAGGAATTTTTAGACCAAGTTTATGGATTTGTTTTCCCTCTCTGGGGTATGTATAGTTGTTGAAGAAGACACAGAGTAGAAACACTAAACTCACTCTTGGGTATTCCCACAGCGGACAATGCTGACGTCAGGTGGTGTTTCTCCTTTACGTCCTTTTAAAATAATGTCTTGCTCTCTACGTAAAGTCCAGGGCCTGTGTTTTTCATGTAACGCGATAGCATAAAGATACCTTTGTGTTGAGTCAGGTGTGGTATTGTATGCATCCAGTCTTCGCACTTCACAGGTGGATCTCTGCGAACTTGAGGCCAGCCTGATCTACATAAGAGTGTACCAGGACAGCTAGGAATACGCAGTGAGACTCTGTCTCCACACACACACCAGCAAGCAAAAAAAAAAAAACAAAAAACATTACAGTCCACTTGTAAACATTTTGCTTGCAACTTCATATGATATTTCTCTTGTATCATATATACCATGACTTAATTATTTCTCTGGTTTTAGGCACCAAGATTTTAATTATTGTAAATAAAATTGTAAAGAATCTCTATATGCTTAAGAGTTCTCCTAAACTCAGATCCTCTCCCGGGAATAGATTTCTCAGAATAAAAACCACATGTCAAAAGCTGGAGGCATTCTAGTGCTTTACAAAGGGGCTGTGTGTGTGGAGTCGGCCACCCACACGAGGACAGTTCCGCAGCTGCCTTTGTCAACAGGAGTATTGCCCTGGAACGCTGCAGGTGACCCGTGGGACCGCCTCCACTCCCAGGAGTGGAGCCAGTTGTTCCCAGGCACACACTGAGGCTGTGGTCCTTAGACGAGGACGACCACACACCCTTGACTGTGGATGCCTCTGCTATGGCATCCACCAGCCTGGCCAGCCCCTCTCCCCGGGACAGCCTCCTGCCGCTTCACACCTGACCGGCTGGTGGGCAACGCTAGGAAACTGACCGGGAAGTTCTCGGAGCCGCTTCAGGACTTGCTCCCGCTGGGAGAGAAGGGCGGTTCGTACTGGCCTGAGAAATTGGGAGGTGGTGCCAGGGCTGGGGTGCCTCCAGCAACTGACTGCCCACAGCAGAGCCCCCGACAGTCTGGGCACCTCTGCACCCTCCATCCAGGACCAAGCACTCAGTAAGTAGATACTCAAGATAGCCTTGCAGAGTAACTGCAGGGCCACAGGGGTCCGGCGGGATATTAAGGGAAAGGAATCTGGAGAGGTTTTGAGCCATCTCTGATGTGACTGTTTGGAGCTGATTAACCGGGTGTTTGTCCAGTGTTGCCCCGGGTCTGGCCTCTGGATTCTCCTACAGACTGTCTGCCAGCCCCGAGCCCACCCGCTGGATTCAAAGTGCTCCCCGCCCTTGGCGCTGGGTGCAGGGTCCGGGTGGGCTGGGTGACCTCCGGGACCTGGGCCGGCGAGTGTAGGCGGAGCGGGGCTGGGGCCTCCCCTCCTCGGGTTCTGCGAGGCTCCGCCTGCCCCAAGCGGCACTGCACAGGGCGCCCAGGGCTCGACGATCCCGGCCTCAGCACACGCCTTGAACCCCGCTGCACACCCGGCTCCCTCGGCTTCCAGACCCGGGTAAGTCCGGGGCTCCTGCCTCTGGGACAGATGCCCTCCTGGGACCATAGCTCAGTCTTGGCCATGATTCAACCAAACTCCTCTCAGCCTGTCTTCACTTACGGGAAATCATAGGAACACATTTTGCTTTTATTATTAACTCATAGGCATTCTCGGAGAAAATTTGGAAAATACCTAAAAGCATCAAAAGAAAATTAAAACCACCACCCCATTCCTGAACCTCAGAGACCCCCACCCCACCCCCAGCTCAGCCATACTTAAAGGTGCAGCAGCTACACAGAGACTGATTTTCTTTTTATCAGCTAGTTGTTTAATTATTTTGATCAGGAGGGTTCCTGGGTTTGGGCCTTTTTCCCATGGGAAAGGCACGGGACATGGAGAACATGATTGATATCTGATAGTGATTGCAGTAATGAGGGAACGGGAAACTTCTAGAAGAAAGCTAGGCGACAGCCCTGGTGTGTGCCTAATCCCACTCCCCTGAGATAGAGTGCTCTTTGGGTCGTCTAAAGCACCTCACCCTGGACTGACAGCCCACTTCAGCACGAGAAGTCTGTCCATCTCCACGGAGGAAGACTAACTGTAGCTGCTATCTGTGGCCAGGGAGATGGGGCTTTCACAGAGTTCTCAGGCGCTGCTTGAATTCTTGGGGGTAGCTGGAATTTCAGACAGACTTGGTTGGGCCCAAAACTTCTGCCTTCCTCGCCTGTTGGGTTTTCCCAGCAGGTGAGGAAGGCACCCCAAATTCCCAAGGAAACAGCCCAGACGTCACCCACAGGGCTTGCCTGTGACAGTGGATTGGGAATGAATCCTAAAAACAAAAGCACCCGAGGCCCTCAGAGAGATTCACACACGTCATCTACATCTCCAGGGTGAGCCTACTCTGGTGTGGTCTCTCTTTTTGCGAGTCAGATGGAACTCGGAGGCATCCATGCATTCATGCATGCAAGCCTGCTTCTGATGAATGATTGCTGCATTTCCCACCAGATGCAGTCTTGGTTCCAGCTGTTCTGGACAGAATGAAAAACAGCACACACAAAGATCTGCTCGAAAGGCTTGCCTTTGGGTGGGAAAGATACACATGCAACAGTGAACGCAGTGATTAAGAAAACGATGCCATACTATGATAACATTCAATCAGTGCTACGGAAAAGAGCAAAGGAATGTGGGACAAAAGCATATTATCTTAATAATTACTGGCACTCTTAAAACATTTAGAGATAAGGTGAGTTTCAGATCCATGTATATAGCAATATAGATAATAAACATTATATCATGTAAAAGATTTATAAAAATAAAAACAATTTAAATTTTAGCAGGAGGACATACTGTGTTGCCAGAGGCTTTCCTATAGTGAGCTCACTCCCAGAATGCAATGTGCTTTCTCACTTATTCACTCATTCACTTATTCACCCTCTCACTGCAGTGGTATCGGATCTAACCCTGAGCTCTCGTTTACATCGCCATTCCTTCCTGAAATAATCTAAGTGCTGGAGTAGGGAATGGAGGCAGCTAATAGTCTATAGATGTGAGAGGCTCCTGGGAGGAAATGCCCAAATAGACTTGCAAACTGCTCCAACTGTGGGGCAGAGAGACTGGCACCATGAGGGGCCAAAACAGGGAGACGGGGTGGGGTCTTCACAGTTTGCTATTCCATCTAGCCTTCGGAGGACCTGTAGCACATTGCCACAGAGATGGCCTACCCACGCTCTCGAGGAGAGCAGGGGCAAAGTCATGGCAGGGTTATTTGATGTTGCATACAACCCTGCCCTGTGGTGTGTGCATATAGGCAGAGTAGAGTTCCCCTCCCAAGCCTTTAGACGGAGAAACGAAGGCTCTTTGGTTTTACTTAATTTGCTGAAAAGTACCATTCCCAATTCCTTCCTTATAAACGACTTCTGCTGTCATTTGTCCTTTATCCAAAATTCTCACACTCCTCCCTCGTTGAATCTTCCGAGTCTGCATTTCCATCCCTCAGCCAGCCTCTGTGTCTGTCACCCGTGGGGAGGTCCAGGAAAGCCAGGGGAACAGAACCAGATTCAGAGGCTGCAGCTCACATGTAGTCAGGAGCTGGCAGATAGCAAGCAGCTTCCTCATTTGCGGCTGGTAGTTCTGGGTCTCCACACTTTGTCCTAACTCCTCGGGAAGCCCTGTCTGCCTCGTCCCCAGGGAGAGATGAAGACCAAGGCAATGCCAGCTTGCTCCCTGGAGAGTCTGGAGGGCCCCTCAGGAGGGGTAAACGTAGCATATGTGTGTTTCCAGAATTTGGACAGGGGGTTGAAAGGAAGGCATGAGCGATAGACAGTTGCTTCCAAGGACAGCTGGTGTAAATTCCAGGCTCATCCAAGGTCATAGTCACCCACATCAGGCCTGTCTGGAGTCGCTTTCGCTCTCAGTCTGCTGCTTATCACAGAAGGCCGAATGCTTTGGTGACTCAGCCCTGCGTCCTGCTTGAGGAGTGCTCTTTCGAGGAAATGCTTCAGGAATCCTGTCAGTCAGAACAAGAATGCACCCCACTCCACTGAGATAAGGAGTGATTAGGGGAGAGCCCTTTGGTTCTCCCAAACCTGAGAGGGGCGACAGGAACCAGGCCCCAGCTCCGGCCGTGACCCCCATCTCTCCTGTCTATCCTGGAGCCTAAACTGCTAAAAGAAAGCCCTGCCCGGTGAGCAAGCCTCAAGTCCTCAGAACGTTGCCAGTGTTGGGAAAGCCTTTGTTCCGGAAGCTTCCAGACTGTTATCGGTGCTGATAGGTAGGTAACCTAGCAAGAGCGTATGGGGCGGGGGCAGGAAGGCAGGGGGTGCACTGGGGGCCTCACAGGCTCCACTAAGGCAGGGGGTGCAATGGGGGCCTCACAGTCTCCACCAAGGCAGAGGGGTGCACTGGGGGCCTCACAGACTCCAC